GAAGAAGAAGGCCACAAACAGGAAGTCGTATATATCATTTCTGTTGATACCCTCTTGCTGGAAACTGGTCACCTGGCCACATTCACCTGCAAGAGAAGCTGGGATATACAGTTACCTGGGAGTCAAGTTTTAAGCTGAAATTGAGAGGGGTGGGTGATTCTAGAAGGAGAGCATGTATTGGAGCCATCTAGCAGAAGCTACTCCAGATATATTTTATTATTCTCCTTATTTTGTAGATAAGGAAATTAAGGTTATGACTTGCTAAAGTAAGGAAGAGAATGAGTAGAAAAATAAGGGATTTAAATTAAGACCCTTGTTTGACCCTGTGGCCTGCACATCTCACCCCTCTGTCGTATCACTTCTCTTTTTTATGGGAGGTGTCTCTGCATATACGGATGAGGTATTGTGAAAGACTATCTAGGGTAACGTCTAGACAGGTTGCTGACATATTCAGAAGGGAGGCTCTAGAACTGGGTCAGACATTCAAGATCTGCAACCTCCTAGGCTGTCAAAGAAAATGCTGGCAAGGGAAGTGGATGCTCCCACACACGAAGGGAAAACTGGGGCCCTTCATCTGGCTTCTTGTTTTGGACTCTGAAGATAAACTTTGGTGTTATCTGTTCAAAGGCATTTTTTTTTAGATCTTTGGTTCCCTTAATGGGAAATTGTTAAGCAAGGGCAGTTCTCCCTGAGGAGAAAGATGTGTTCTAGCTCAAATGTAGGATGGAGCAGGCTTTTCAATGGAGGTGTTCAGATTTTTTAAATAGAAATTCTTATTCTCTGGGCCCAAGAGAAAAGGAAGCCTGTGTGACAACCTTGAATTTTGTTTTCAAATGGATATTCAGAGTTAGAGTACCACTTGATGGCTTGACTGTCAGGAGCTCAATAGAATGAGTTGTGGAGGACAGTTATACTAACCGTAAACCAGGCCAGTGTTGGCAATTTCAGGGTAAGATGAAGTTTATGAAAAGGCTGACATCTGTGATCAGTGTCAGGGTGGAAGTATTATAGACAAGAGCTATCCAACAGGAGCATAATGTGAGCCACATATGTAACTTTTGATTTTCTAATAGCCCTCATTAATAACACTAAAAAGAAACAAATGAATTAACTTTAATAACATTTTTTAAATCGATATCTACAAATAAGATTATTTCAACTCATAACCAATGTAAAAATTTAGAGAGATATTCTACGATTTTTGTGTGTGAATTCTTTGAAATCTGTTTTTTATAGTGACAGCAAATCTGAATGTTAACTAGCCTCACTTCAGGGCTCCATACACCGTATGTGGCTGGTGACTTTGGTATTGATAATAATGCAGTGATAGCTAAGCAGATCTAGAAGTCTGGCTGCTTCAAGTTTGCATGGTAGAATCTGAGGAACTCTTAGATAACTGGAACAACACAGCCCACAAAACTGTGCTTAACCAATGTTGACCCACAATATAATACTACCAACACTGTTTGATTGTACTTGCATTTCTAATACCATTTCTGTGATAGAAAAACATCTGGATGCAAAGGATACTCCTGGAGAGAAATTGAGTGAGTTCTTCTATGTCCCAGGAACTAGTAGCTTCTCAATGATTTTAAAGAAGGCCAACTTCCTTAATGAGGGTTTGTATGAATGAGTCTCCATATGAGAATAAAAATGCTTAGATAAATATATATTGATCTATCATTCTTACACACCCTTAAAATGAGACTTTATGTCCCTGTGTTAGTGTTTCTCAATCCTGGCTAGTTCCCAGGTCTGGAGGGTGACAGTGGGCTTGGAATGTCATCATCATGAGGGACAGTTAGTTGGCCTGGTTCTGGAAATGGGGAGAGAGAAAATTTTGTGACTCAAAAGAAGAGCAGGCGGAAGGAACAAAAAAAAGAAGCTTTAGATGGAAATGCCAAGAATGACTTATTATTATCATCCTGGAAAAACCAGCTAGGCATTGACATAGGTAGGGTTATACTATCTCTATTCTGGGACATAGTCAACATTAAAAAAAGTATTTGATGCATCTCTACCTAAACCTGTCCTGCTGGCCTGCCTCTGGAGAGCCTCCAAAAAAAAAAAGATTCAATTTCAAATGATACATGCAATTGTAATGGTCTCTGAATAAGGAAGAACATTTGAAATATGTGACCACCTTTTAGATGCCTTAAAAAAAAGCATTAGTAAGTAATGGCAGAATTCCAATACTACTTTATTTATTCAAATTATTTCAAAGAAATCTAAAAGTATTAGATAAGTGACCATTTAAATTATGAGGGCAAGGTCTAGGAGGGGATTTTGTAAAAACAAGCTTTAGATAAAAAAGACTTCCCATTTATGATGGATTGAGTCCCTTAGTACAGGAGAAGGGTAAATAAGGTAAATATCCACTGTTAGGAATGGGCAAAATAAGCAACTGCTGAGTGGTATGATATTTTAAGATCACTTGGAGGGCACCCCCAAATCCCGCGTGAACACTCCCCTGTTAAAGCATCCGAAGAGGCTTATGTGTCCACAGGCTCTCCAAGGAAAATGACGGTATGCTGCAGCGTTGGCACCGGAAGTTGGCATCAGTAATTTTTACAAGGTGTGAATGGAAAAAAACACAGCCAAGCTCTCAGTCCTTCCAGCTGCTGCCGGGCTGCTCTGCCTCCCCTCGCTCACTTCCAGTGAGAGTGTCCTAGGCCCTCGCTGCTCGCGCTCTGCTTTCCATTCCCACCAGCCTTTAATCTGCAGAGAGACAACTGGCAAAGCATTCCGTTCCTACTTTGTGAATTCCCGGGGAATTTACATGTATGTGATTATTTTTGGCCCCACGTCCTCTGCTCCGCCTCATCCAGAACTTGGGCTTCGTGTGTGGGGGCTGTTGTCCTGATCTCGGCTCGTCCTCCTGGGGCACTGCCAGCTATGCCCTGGCCTGATGGTGATTAGCCTCCTGACAAAGGGAAATTCAGAATTACAGTGCTTGACAAGGGAGAGCGGCAGGGAACCTACAACTGTTTAGAATTTCAAGAGGGAGGAGTTGGCCTGGGTACCAAGCCTAAGAAGGGCTTGAGGGCTGGGTGGGTTGAAAGAAGGGCATATTGAATCATCTGAATGGTAACAAGCACCTGAATTCTAAATGGTAGTAAAATGAAATGTGGGATAGATGTGAGTAGGATTTATGGAAAGGCTTTAGAAGAGAAGAAATAAATAATTATAGAAGGGGACAGTGCGACCGTGAAGCTGAACGTGAGGGAGTCCATGGCACGTGGAAGTTCTTTCTTGTGAATCTCTGACTTGCGTGGAGGTTATTTCAAGTGTCCGTCCTGTCCTTGCTTCACGACCCGAAGTCCTACGGGAGAGCGTTTGACCGGCCGTGCTTGGGTCCCTTGCCTGCCTCCTGGCTTTATCACAGGTGGGGGAGGCAGTTCCTGTCAGCCCTTCCTGGCATCTGCACTTGGAGACAGGAATCTGGAGTTACTGCACCGTCAAGACTGTATACACTGGGAACTAGGAAATTGCGATGCTGTTGGGGAGGGAAAATGGATGCAAGACAGCAAAGCAAATGAACCAAACGAAAATGGATAAATGCCCCCTATCTTGGGTTACAGTTCCTACATCTTGGATTATTT